TATATATGTGTAAATATATATATATTATACGTGTATATTTATGTGTCTGTGCATGTATTAGTTTTCAGACAACGTTCTAAGCATTCTCTGAAAGCAGTGTAGGTAGTGAATGGCCCTGGTCTGCTGACAGGGTAGAAAGGGAATGGATCGCATAAAATGATCGGACTCGCACGTTTTCTCCCTAAACAGTGCTTACGCTCCCTATGTAGGAAACAGAAGGGTGGGCTGGGTGCATAACCGAAATGACCCAATAGTCTTGTCTTCCATCCTCAACAAACTGGTATTCACCTAGTTCAAGTGGGTACTTAAATCTACCCTTAATTCAGTGCCTTAAAAAGTGGTGACTCAGAGGTGTTTGAATTGTGGCTCCAGAGAGAATAGATTTACTGGTTCTTCTGTCCTCAGTCTTCTAAGCAAGCCAGTATGTGTGGGTGGGGTTTTGTGGGGTGGTTGGGTTTTTTTCTTGTTGTTGTTTTATGGGGTTTTTTGGTTTTGCGCTGTTGTAAAGTATTTCAAACAGCCTCTTGCTTTACTATTAGGTTTTATTAAAATTATTCCTAAAAGGCAGAAAGATACAACTGTTGTTCTCCTGTTGAAAATGACATGAGGAGATTCAGTAATTGTAGTGTAGTATTTGCATTTTCATTCATAAATTCGTATTTAGTATTGCATATGGATTTACCAACCTTTTCAATATCATATGCTGTTTTTTTTTTCTTCCTTCTTCAATAAGAATCAATTTGCTGCCCTTGGTGCTCCAAAGAAAGACACTTCTCAGATTGAAGGACCATCTTTAAATAACACTTACGGTTTTAAAGTGAGTGTGGAAAACCTTCAGGAAGCAAAATCTTTACATGAGGTAACGTACTGTTACATTTTATTTTATAAAATGGTAGTTTATCAGATGAGTTTTATAATGGCAGAATTTAAAAGCCTGAGTTAAGGCCGTAGACATCGCACACTGATTATTTTTAAGTAGTTCCTCTGCTAGTTTCAGCTTGACCTCCAAGTGCCTTTATGTAATAGTATTGAACTAAATTTCAAAGTGTTTATGTTGAGAAGGTGGTAAACCCTCTTTAAAAAAAAAGATGAAAAGAAGAGATAGATCAGAAGGAAGAAATAGTAAGTGTTGTATAAGAACATTACCAGAAAAACTAGTTGACCTTAACTTTCACGGATAGTATCCTTAAGAAACAAGGCATGTGGTGTCATTCAGTCAGGCCCTGCTACTTTTTACCTTCTGAACTTGTTGGCCAGTTTCTGCTGCATTTAACAGAGCAGTACCCATTTTAGAGTGTCTCTACATATGTCATGTACATCAGTGGTTGGTCTGGGAAGAGAGATCAAAATTGGCGCTGGAGAAAGGGATGCAGTGTGAATACAGTACTGCTGTGTTTGGCTGCTGGCTGTCCAGCCAGCATGTGCGTGCACCCAGATAGTCGCCACATCCGTGGCTTGGAATTAGCTGTTGACCAATTTACAGACTACATGGGGAGACAGCGGAGTAGATGGCATGTGAGAAGCTGCAAGAAAATGATTTTGCGGGGAATGAAGATAGAGCTTCATAGTAAAATTTCATTTCACCGATGGCTGTAGTGATGTAGGATGCAAATTTAGAGAAAATCAGGCTGCCCCCGGGGCAGCTTACATACTCATAAATATTTGTAACTTCTCCCTTGTAATCCCTCCAATTTGCCCATTACTCTACAGTATCAACTGTATTATGCAAGACAACAGAGCAACAACATAGCATTGAAACAGTACTCAATGCTGCAGTATTTATTGCAGAGCCAAAACCCTACAGTGTATAAGGAGTAGCGTTTTCTTAATGCAAACTTCTGCAAAATGCTGTGGCACTTCATTAATGCAAGTGAAGGGAAAGTTAGATATTGTCCATATATTCCTGTAAGTGACTTAGTCTTCGTGCTTGTTCGCGTGACTTGGGTGAGGGAGGGAAAGGAAAATAAAGACCAACAGTGATTCTTTGTTCTTGAGCAGTCCAGAAACTTCATTCAGCTCAATATGCAAAGCTGTGTGAAAATGTTACAGGAATTTGCAAGTGTTGAAGTGGAGCATTTCTTTCTGTTTGTATTATCTGCTTTTGGTAGAAGAAGATAGTACTCAGAAACAAACATTGAATTTTAATAATTGTGTATAAAAATGTATTAAGTGATTGATTTTTTTTTTTTGGTAAGAAAATGCTTTTTACACAAAAGTGAGATCCAGAGATGCATGCTTAAACACTTCTGTTAATTTTCAGGTGTGACCTCTTAGTTCCAGTATAATATGACCATATGAATGTCTGCAGTGAGTTCATTTGCACTAATAATCTCATCTGAATTTTTTTGAAGAAAGCTCCAAAACATACTAACTTACTGTATTTATTTGCTGGTAGGTCCAACACCTTACCCTCATCAGTATGGAATTACATGCTCGGACCAGACGAGATTTGGAACCAGACCCAGAGTTTGATCCCATCTGTGCTTTATTCTATTGCATCTCGTCAGACACAGCACTGCCAAATACTGATAAAAAAGAAGTCACTGGCGCTATAGTGATTGATAGAGACAGGATGCTCTCAAGCCAAGGTTCCTATTTTTTTTCTTAACGTATTTTACAAAAATGCTTATTTCATAGTAATCAAACAGTAGCAAGCAAAATATAATCGAGTATCTATATTACTATTTAGCTCATTTAATTTTGTCTTGTTGACTGTTGGATGAATGGCCATATTAAACATAGAGTTTTCCTGCTTATATCTTCCAAAGAACTCTTGCATGGGCTGTAAACCACTAATAACATACGTATGTGCAAAAGAGCTGTGTTTGTGTCCTTGTGGACAAGCTCCTGCAGTGTTCTCAAAGTATAAAGAGGAAAACCTGCCTTTAGTTTCCTACTTGAGTTGCTGGATAGCTACAAGTGGAAAATGTTAAAAGCAAGACAGTATGTTTTATATTTTACTTAAGGGTTATTTTTGTGGTTTTATCTGATCCTTTGAGGATCTAAACAGGGGCCCTTATTCTATTGTACCTTTTTGGCTTTGTTTAGACCAGTGATACTCAACCTGTGGCTCTAGAGCCGGATGTGGCTCTTCATGGCCCTACAGGCGGCTCTCGCAATGTAGGCGTCTGATCGGCGCTCCACTCTATCAGGCAGCGCGGGGAGCACTGAGCAAATGGACCAGCAGTGTGGGAGTCGCTGAAGTTCCCCCTCCCATAGGGGGAAAGAAAAGGAGCTGCTGGGATCCCCCCACAGGTAAGAGTAGAGATCACCTCCCACCCAGCAGCCGTGGGGCAGAATGGGGAAAAACTTGCCCTTTTGCCCCTTCCACCCCTCCACCCCACTCCTTCTTAGCAGCCAGAAGGGGTTGAACACAGAATGCTGCTGGGAGAGAGGATGCTGATGTGTCATGTCGTGATGTATCAATATGTGATGATGTTGAGGCAGCATCATCACACATTGAAGTGTCATGATGGGAAAAAAAAAAAATCACAGTTGCTACTTAATTTTTATGGTGCTCTACAACTCCATTTAATAAAGAAGTGGCTCTCCAGCTGTTAAAGGTTGAGTACCACTGGTTTAGGCTAGTAAAAAAAAGAAAAAGCAAACAACCAACCAAACAAAAACCCACCAAATAAAAGTCCTCTTTCTTTCAGGGTTTCTTTGGCATTGTGAATGTGTATTAAACCACAAAATACTGTCTAAAACTTAAGTGTGGACAAAAAACTACCAGAAGTAAATTTATTATTAAGGCAACAGCTCCTTCTTTTACCAGTTTATTTTTCAAAGTTCTGTAGATATTATATCATGTTAAGCTAAGTTCTTATTATTCTCAGTGAAGTTTATTCTGGTATTATATGCTTGTTACTATCTTTTAAAAAATGATCTCCCATTACCTTACAAAGTGAGGTTTTCCACAGTATAGCCACTATGCCTCCCTAGGTGTGTGCCACTGATGAATTATCAGGAAAAAGCTCTCTGTAAAGAGGTCCAACAATATTGTGAAAAACCAAAGGTTCTGATCTGGTTTTGTTAGATAAATAAAATGATATGTTTAAATGTTATTGTGACATTCCTTGCTTTAATTGATGTGTCCTGTCAATATTTTCTTGGTTAGAACTTTTTGAGCTCCCTGTGGAGTGACTTGACACTGAGATACACCTTTTTATTCCCTTTAATATTACTGTTGCTTTCTAAGTTACGGTACTCATTTTAACATTTATTTCCAAAAGCACACTTATTTAATTCTCAAGCTTTTAACAATTTGTCAAAGTAGAATGCCTTTTAAAATCTCCAGATTGTTGCCATAATTAGAGATATTACTATCTGTTGTAAAAGAAAATGAAAAGACAGAGTGTGTGTTGCATGTTATTCATTCAAAGAGGGTTTTTTTGTACAGAAGGCAAATGCTGAGTTCCTGCACGCATATGAATTTGGCTATTATTCACACATTATCAATGTAGGCACTCCTAATGTGCACTAAGTGAGCAGTTGCTCCTGTTTTTCTACTAGTAACTTAGTGGTTTTTTAGAAGTGTACTCAAAAGAAAACCCCTGTACTGTGTTATGTAGCATTTGCATTCTTGCAAACTACTACTCTAAGCTAGCAATTGAAATACATATTTTGCATGAAAACACTGTGTGAGCTGTCCTTTGGTCCTTTAATTTCTTACTAAAAATTATTTTCTAATAGCTGGACTCTTGTACATGTAAAATGGCAAAATTTCTCTTGAATCAAATTTATTTATATCTGAGAATTTGTGCAAGATTACCACTGTGGTAGAATTTTACAAAGCGAAAAGAACAAACTCTTCCACCCAAGAAGAACAAAATAAATCCATGGAATTAATTCTGATAATATTTAGTGTTAATGATAAAAATAGGTTGTATTCTGTACTTTTTTCAGTTGTATGTTTTATTCTAATGCAATATTATTGATCGAAGTCATGTAATTCCTTCTAAATTGTAATTAAGATTTTTTTTTTTTACCATATTTTCTAGGGAGCAGAGACCAGGCCCCCTTGCTCACAAGATCTGGAGTTACAGGACTACAAGTCAGTTACGCTACTGATGAAAGAACTCTTTTCCAGGAAGTAGTGAATATTGTAAAAAGGTAGCATATCTGTACGTTCTGCTTTTATTTTTCAGGCTTGGTACCGCAGATTTAGTTCCTTCAACCCTTGCCAGTCTCTCAAATACTGATTTTTTTGTTGTTATTTCTCTCAAAGGTTTATTTCTAGAGTGGACAAGCATGGTGGTCTTTCGAATAAAAATACTTTTTGCTTTTCCTTTTCTGACAGCAAGAACACTCAGATCCTCTTAACCAGCTGAGTTACAGCCTTGAAACTAATCAGCCACATAAGTAATCATCTTTAACATACAACCTTTCCTGTTAATCCCAGAACTCATTACACATCTCTCTCTGAAACTCAGAATAGTAGATATTAACAGTGCTGAATGCTATAGAAAATCCTTCAGATTAGAAGAATTTTTCTAGGCACTCTGAGGCAAGACAGGAAAAAACCCTACGTGATACTGAAACTGCTATGGACAGATTAAAATAACCACTAGATAAAAAAATCAGTTTCCTTCATTAGTTTTGTCTTCTCTGAATGGAAATCCCCTGCTCCATCAGACTTGAAAACTGCTGGTTTTCTCCATCTCCACGAAGTCTGTGAAGTCTGCTTGGTAGCCCTCGCGGCTGGTGAGTAGGTGGAGCCGCAGACGTCTCTCCAGGCCCTACTGTCAGAGGTGCAAAGCTGTAAAATCACAAGGAAAAATAAACAGATTTAAACTATGAGTCACCGTGCTGGAGTAGAGGCACAAGAAAAAAAATGTGTACTAGGCAGAGTACATTTGCAATTCTTTCTCTCTCCAACCAGAAAACCTCTGATGAGAAAGACATTGACCAACCCCGTGAAGCCAGAATACAAAAAGAGTTGCTGAATGCAACCAACACAGGGTGGGTCCTGACAGAGCAGCAGATCCCTGTTCAGAGAAGACAAAATTCAGGTAAGGAACATAATTTTATTTTTCTCTTTCTTGGAAATCTAGTGCTCCATCAAACTTAGGCAAATTACTGAGAAGCTGCCAGTAAACAAAGAATTCTCCACCAGTTGTGTGGAAGTTTAAAAAGTGACAGTACATAAAGAGTAGGGGAGAGAGAACTCAGCAGTTAGAATATATACTTAGCGCTGAAGAACAGAAGTAGTCGACATCTGTACATATTGAAGGCATTATGGAATGAAAAAAAGCACGCGACTTCTGTAGTACTTCAAGACGGAATGTACCAATCACCTGGTTGCTGACTGAGAAATCTCTTTGTAAGAGAACTTCTCTGTCAACACTGTGCTAGCATGCCTTTTTGATTCAGCAACTGTCTTCAAATATTGCGACAGCTAACTTGTATATCTGGAAGATGAAAGATTTGGTTTATTAATGGAGAGGCAGACTGCTGTCGTCGTCTTGGTCTACTTCCCTCCCTCCTCTCTGCAGTATCACCTAAGGAATCAGACTATTCTAAATTCTCAACAAATACGTTTTAAACACTTGGACCACATCTACAGTTTGCTGCTCTTTTCCCCCTTTATTTTCTGTAGCCTAGGCAAAAGAGAAAAAGAAATTTTGCTGGAGTAAGTCTTTTATATTTTTTTAAGCACAAAAGAAGTTTCTAGGCCCCGAGGAGCCTTAACTTAAGGAAGAAGTATGGTAAAATGACATGATTAAAAAGTAGTGGACTTCAAAAGTCTTCCTCAGTGGGAAATAAATAAGCCAGCAGCTTTAATGAAAACTTTCTGCATCAGGAATTATTTTGATGACAATCTTCCTGTTTTTAGTGTTATTTTTTCCAGCACAAGCTAGGTATTCTAGTTGTTCCGGTAGGTGCACTTCATAGTAGGTCTGGTAGGTAAGAAAGAAAACGATCAGGCCATGTTTAAGGAGCATTAGCAGTTGGGGTTCATGGAGTGAAACTCAAAATCACCTTAATTTATCAGCAGAGGACCATATCAGTATCTTACATGCGGATGTATGCATCGGACTAGAACATAGTAAGTTCTTGTGGCCAAATCACATGCCCAGCATGGCTACAGCTTACTTTAGGTTCATGTTCTTGGCCTCTTTGGCTGTTGGAGGGAAGGGTGGAAGAGAGAAATTCCAGATTCCTGGCACAGTGAATGATAGAATATATATTCAGTGTTGATTGTCCATACCAGGAACAGACTTTTATCAGCTTGTTGGTGCACTGGACAGAGAACTGTGGGAGAAATTCTTAAGCAGTTCAATCGAAGAATTCTTGTTCCCATTTCTAGTCATACTCTTAGTAGTTGGACTAATTGTTGCTCTTATTTCATATATGTGAAATTGTGGAACATACTCATTTGTTTCAAGTTCCAGCCTTCTGCTTCTCTGTTTAGACCTTTTGTTTTCATTCTGTTCTGGCTATTGAGAATAAGAAGAAATGGTTGAGTCTGTCACTTCTTGTCAATAGATGTAAACTCTGCAAAAGCACAGTACAGAATTCTTGACCACTGTTCCCAGCACATGGTGAGGGAAATGCTGCAATACTCTTAGTTCATCAGTCTCTTTTTCCATCAGAAATCTGCAAGGGTTTTGTCTTCGAACAAATGACCCAGAGTGTCTGCGCAAATAGTCTTTATAACGTGCTGGCTGATACCGAGGGATACAGATGCTGAAGCAGAGTGTGATTAATTCGTGTGGTTGTAATGCTTGCTGGCGGTTTATTTTTCGGCTCCACCACTAGCCTTTTGTCACTGAAGAGTTGTTCCCAAGGTATTTTGAAATACTGAGCTGCTTGAGAGTTGAGAGGCAGGGAACAGTTTGAAAGGAAGAGCCACATAGGTGGGTTTGGAGGAGGCAAGGAAGAATAAACAACATGGATTTGCAACAAAGAAAAGTATAATTTAAGTGGTTCTTCGTACCCTGACAACTGTCTTAGAGTTGGAGAGGAAGCTTCACCTACATAAGTCAAGTTTTCCCTTCTTTCATAAGCTGTCCTCTGGCTGTAAGCAAAAAAATAGGACTTCAGCTCAAAACCGGCATAAAGCAGCTGAGAAACAACTTCCTTCCCATCCTGTGCAGCCAGTGTGGATGATCTACAAGCACAGAGAACCAAGTTGTAGGCTCTTTGGAGTTGTCATAGAAGAAATTAATTTTTTTCTTTCTTTCTTGAGATGGAACCTGTAACTATATTGCTGTGCTAAAGGATTCGGTCATGCTGCCTGAACAGCTTTCTTGAATACACCCTCTCTTGATTGTAAGGTGTCAGCTGCAGTGAGTTGGGAGAAAAATTGGAACAATTTGTCTGCTTGCAGAAGTGGAATAGAACCAGTTCTCTGTCTGAACCTAAAGGCAGGAAACAAAGTGAACACATTCACATAGCTCCATAAACCAGGCAGTACAAAACGCAGGAAAGCTGGCAGTTTAAGGAGGGGGAAGGGAACACTACAGGAATGTTTGTCTTGGAGATTTAAAAAACGCGGGAAAACTAGAGATGTCCAAGCCTGATGGAGCAGTGGATTCCCATGAAAGAGAAATTAAATGTCTCGGCCTCTCCTACACTTTTAAGGCAAATTGTGCCACTCTTCTGTAAGTGCAGTTACTACCAGGTAGCAGAAAAGGGCTCGTCCTGCAGACATGAGAAGAGCACAATCTGGGGAATTCATGTGGGAATGCACAGTCCCCATCTCTGTGTCACGTAGAGGTTGTGGAAACAGGACAAGCTTGAAATAAAGTAGTAGATTCGCTGCTACTTGAGACTCACCAGCCACCGGCGACTCTTTGTCAACATGGAAGTAGTTTCTGATGCAAGTACAGAAACGGTGTAAAGTTGTAAGATTTCTCTTAAAGATTTTGGGGATAAAACGTTTGTAATTTAATTACTTGTTAATACTTAACATTTAAATACTTTGTATAATGTTTTTCTTGTAAAGCGTGATGATAATCAATTTTTTGTATTGGATACAATGCATTGTATTTGTTCTTCTGTAAATGCTCTAGCAACATTTTCTTTTTAAAATAGAGATGTGTTAATCCAGCCTTCTTTTCCCAGGCCAGTATCATCTTCTGTGGCATTTTCCTGTAGAAATCTTTACGTAATGTCCTGAATCAACTTTATGGATTTTTATTGTCCAAAGCCAACTGGAAAAGCATTTGCAGAGATTTCAGTTATGTATTTGAGTCACCAAGCATTCTGCTGCCATGCAGTTACTGCTTTTGTCTGTATCATAGGTCTGGCCTAATTTTTTCCCATTTTTCTCTTAGTTTTAGCTGGAAGAAAAATAGCAGTCAGGAAAACCAGACACATAATAGAAGGGAAGACATAACTGGGAGCTTTAGTGTTCATTCACGAAATTATCAAGTGAGAAAGAGGAAGAGCTGGCATAACAGCACATACGACTGAGCTAGGAAGGAAAATAATCACATTTCTTCTCTCTGCAGCATGTATGAGTTGAATGCTAATGCTGTCGTCTTTAAATCCTGCCAGTATAAATGCTGCTTTTCATCTTTGCAGAGAGACTGGCAACAGCATGCAAAGCAGTGTCAGTGCCCATCCTTTTCACAAAAGAGCACTATGTTGGCAGGCACACCTCTTACTCCTGTTGTGTTAGTCCTAGCCAGCAGCTTTCAAATATCAGTATGTCAACTTATTAGTTTCTTGCAGGTGTAAAAGTTGGTCTCATTACAATTTCTGTTAATAAAACAGCTTGAACTGATGATGAAGACCAACTGGATAGTATACAGTAAAAACGTGAGAAGGAAGGATGAAAAATATAAAACTTGTCCTCTCCTTAGCACACAGCCTGTCGTCTTTGTTGTACCACATGAAAAGGGGAGAGAGAAAGCGAGAGAGAGACAGACCTGAGCTCACATCAGCTAATCCGTGGGTTTACCTGTTCATTTTCCCATTTGGAATAATGTCATCTGTTAGCTCCAGGCTTCTTTTCTCTACTAGCAAAAAGGATACCGCAGGAGGTCACAACAAATGACAGGTGGGCCCATTGGTACGGCTGGTGCATGGGATTGGGCTGCAGGAGAGGTCACTTCTGCTGCATAAATTGAGACTGAGTTGTTCAGCGAGTAAATAAAAAGGAAGAAACAGCAGAGATTCACGTTAGGTGCAAGAAATCTGATAGGTCTGTTAATCCTGTTGCATAAGGTAGCCTTGTGCATACCGCCGTGCGGGAGTTTGGGGTCCCAAGTGTAGTTCAGTAGAGAGAAGTTCTGCTTGAATATAATTTCCCTTCAAAGATAATTCAGAGATACACTTAACCAAAAATTGCTTTGATTGTAAAGTTGAGGAAATACCTAAGCATCCATAATTTGTTAATTCTAACTATAGTCCTTTATGCATTCACAGTGTATGTGCACGCAGATACACATACAAAATACACATGTGTAACTTACTGCAGTATTTAAGTAACTCAGTTGCTGGCAGTGTGTTCACTTTTTCATGGCTTTCAGAAGGATATCACTTTCAGAAGGATTCAAGTTTTAAATATGGGAAACTGAGACCAAGGGACTGTGTTTACAGGGAATTTACAGTAAGGTTTGAATTCACTGTTTTCTAGCTACTCCACCTTGATTTTCCATGTAGATAGCTTTATGTGAGAATTGTCTGACTGAAACTTAGACATCTATATTTCATTGTCAGTGTCTAAGTAGCTGCCCTCATCACCGTGTATGTGAAACAGAAAGAACAGGATCTCATTCTGCAAGAGGTGGCTAAAATATAAGAAATAGTTCACCCGAAGAGGCCTTTTTTTTTTTTTTTCCCTCCAATGACAATAAAGAGACCGTCTTAGAAAACTTGAGATGCCAAAATTAGTTGAAATGAGACCCTCCCCTTACTGCATGTGCAGGGTCTAGTCAGGAAGGAAAAGCAGAGTAAGTAATGCACTGTAAAGTGATACCCTGTGACTCAGTCAAGTGCCATTATAAGCAAACCCTAATGCCCGGTACAAGCAAGACTGAGTTCAAAACTAGCACCCTGATTTTTTTAATCTTTTGAGTGATAAGCTTTCCAATCTAAGTGTGAATTTACATTAAATTGTGTTAAAATGTGTAATATTTACGTTGGATAAAATTTATTTATGTAAGCAAATGTATGCATCTGAAAACATCATAAAGTGGTTTTATGTCTTGTCCTGTAAAACATCTTCCCATCTGAAGGATACTAAAGAAACAGTTCTGGAGATTATATGCAAGTGGTTGGTTTACAGAGGTTCTTTTATTCCTTAGCTTATAGGAGAATAGTAAGATTAACTCAAGAATGGATGAAATGTTGTATTCAGTTGCAGCACAAATAGGAATATTTCAGGAGTAATGTAGTAGCCAACTAAAATTTGATTACATAGGAAGTGAGGGAGGTAATGAATACTGTTTTATGTACCACATAAGCAGTTCTTCAAAAGTTTCTCATTCGTGTTTGCATCTGTCATGGAACCCATCTGCGTAACGTCTTGCTCTGCATAAAATCTACAAGTACTTTCCGTTTTCAATTATGTGAAACCGGTTTTCAAATATGAACATAAATGACTGCTTCCTTTATTTTAAATAATCAGCAGTTGCTTGCAGTATGCTAGGACCAGGATAGTTAGCTGCAAGGATTAATGTGAAAATACATTAATTTTATTAACATTTATTCCATGACTGCAGAAACCATTACATAACTCGTGTTTATTTCAAAACCTTCATGAAGCTATTAATCATTTTGGAACCTGAATTGGCAGTCGTTGTCTGTTGTGCGGCGCAGCAAGTGGTCATAGCTCTTCGATGCTGATGCAGGGTAGCTTCATTCATTTGCCCTTAAATTGTTCCAAGTTGCCTTGGGTTGATACCACTGGTAGAATAGGCTTCTAAAATGAGTAAATTTACTACTGCCATGCTGATGATCATTTCTGTCTCCAAAAACAAAGAAACATTCGTTTGACATTAACAACAGATAGTGAATTACCCCCCAAATGCAAAGTGCTAGTTCTTTTACTTTCTCTAGAATGCTAGAAATTAAAAATTTAATTTAGAATCTTCTGCTTTAGCCAAAAATTGTATCAAAACCATTCCTTCGCAGGTAGTAGTAGGTGGCAACAGGGGTATTTGCAACTTTGGCGGGCTAGTGCAAAAACCCCAGTTGTAATAGCGGTAGCCGTGCTGGGTAAGAACACTCAAATGCTTTTCCCTTTGTTTTTCACAAGTCCGTAGCAGATGTATGGAGCGGTGCTTTTCTGGACCTATTCTCAGAGTAGTTGGTTACCTCAAAGTGATTTCCCATCTGCCTTTAGCTGGGACACACAGGCAAGGAAGACACAGAATAAATCCTACAGGACTGTCTGTTTTAAATATTGTCTCCTCGTCCAGATGCTGCTTTCATAGAAACCCATTGTGGCTGCTTATTTTTCAAACTCAACATGATTAGAATGAAATCCTGTTTATACTCTGTTCATGGAAAATATTTTCTTAAGTAATATGAAGCTCATTTTCCTTTCCCCTGCCTTTCTAGATATGACCCAGACATTTTGTTAGGTTATGAAGTCCAGATGCATTCCTGGGGTTATCTCTTACAGAGGGCTGCTGCACTAAATGTTGATTTATGCCAGATGATTTCTCGTGTGCCAGGTAAGTTATTGTATAGGGTTTCAGTTCAGTTTCAATAGAAACAAGTTTAAATCTATGAATAAATTTAAAAAATAAATGCAGAGTATTTCTTCAGATGGACCTTTTTATTGTTGCTGTTGTGCTGTTATAGGTATAATCACACACACAAAGATTGAAATACTGATGACATACTGGTGTTCAGTGTTTTCTCAATTTTTAATTCCTTGTGTATTCCACTTCTGGGTGTGTCCTGTGTCCATGAACCTAGACTCGTTTTCAGTAGTCGTGTGTGTTGAGTTTTCAGTTCTTGGAGGTGCTTCTGCTGCCAAACCTCTTGCTGCTTCTTGTCTTCACTCATAGGTGTATGTCATGCAGGGTTCCTGCCATAATCATTACTTGCAGTTTCTCTGCCTGGGAAGCGAGGACATGAAGTTGTTCCTGAGCAGCACTCCTCCTGGTCAGCAGCTCTGTAATCCTTGCTTTCAATAGCCGTTCTTATGCTGTGGGCAAATTTTACTGGCCTAAGTGCTGATGCTTTCCTCTAACATTCAGAAAAAGATCTGTTTGGGATGTTTTCATTGAAAACCTGGGGAGAATCATCCAGGCGAGTGGTAAGCCTAGTGTCTGTACTTAGCCGAGCAATAGAAGGTATCGTTCTGAGGAGTGCGGTTAGTGAATAGCTAAATAAATGTGTTGCATCTGAGAAGAGTCAAGATGACTTTGTAAAATTAAAAGCTGTCTCAAAAATTTGTTGCAGCTCTTTGTAGTCATTAAGATGTGGATGAAGGAGGTATGATTTTAAAAATCAAAACAATTGACAAAGCTGCTTTTGTCAGGGCTTTTGCCAAAGATCTATATAGAAACTACATAGCCATGAAATAAGAATTGCTTTCCTGTGATTGTCCTATTAAAATCTTGAGCCTGTTACTCTGTAATGGTTGAAAAAGCAAAGAGTAAGGAAAAGATAAAATAATGTAAATGTAAAAATCTGTAGTGTGCTTGCACCTCAAATACTGCAGTTTTAGCCTCTTCATAACCTTTTCCCCATCAAAATGGATAGATGAGAACTGGTAAAAATGAGAAGGGTAATCCAAATGTGTCTAGTAATTTAATAAGGATTCCAGAAGAAACAAAACTGGGTAAGGAAGGTAGAAGCCTATGAAATCTTGAGGGTTATAAAGGGAAATTTATAACCAATATAATAACATAACCACGGTTGTTTGTGGCGTTTTGCAATGCAAGAACCAGGAGAATTGCAAGAACTTCAATGAAATGAAGCTAGCAAATGGCAGCTACAGAACAGGAGTTGATTTTTCACCCCTGGGTTGTTGAACCTTTGAGTTCCTTGCCACAGGATAGTACAAACACTTAAAGTGTATGTTGCTTTAGGAGGAGATAAATTCTTGGAAGAAAAATCCATTGGGAACTATTATATATGTGAAAATAACATCTAGCCCAGGAAGCTGCAAATTGTTAGAAGCTGGGAGAGTTCTAGAGAGAATATCAGCAGCTGCTTCCCCTTTTCTTGAATCATCTACTTTTGGGTACTTGATAGAACATGATACTGGGCTAGTTGCATCTTTGGGCTTAGCAAGCATCGCAGTATCATCTTTTATGTTGGCATCCTTTGTGCCTGGCCAGGAGAGCATGATGTAGAAGAGCTATGTTCACACGCTCCTTCCCTGAGGTTTGAATATTTGTGCAGTCTTTTGATGCTTTTGATACCTGTGACCTGTTTAGAAAAGGTCTGGGTTACAGAGACCTCCCAGGGACAAGAAAACATACAACCAAATTTGCATCTTCAGTTGAAAGTTGTTGGCAACTGGACCTTGGTGAATTTTTAAATACCTAATGTATGAAAATGGGAACACAGGACAGTTTAAATATGAATTGGTCATCAAAGGTCACAAGTTTCCTTCTTCAGCACAAAGGTCTCAAATTTGTTTTCCAGGAATAATAACTGATTGCATGAACCTTGTTATTAAATTCCCCTGATGGCTCAAAATTAGATGATACACTGGTTGCAATAATAATGCCTCGGTTACGGTCTTCAGAGGTATTGAAAGATGTTCAGAAAAACTTTCAACCCCTTACACTTCAACATTTGCAGTATCTTTGGTAAGAGGCATGGTAAGTGTTGCGGTCAAAGGTTTCTTAAACCTCCTAGGATCACAGCAGTTTACTGCTCTGCTGTAGAAGTATGGCTGAAAAGTCTCTTCAGTTTGGGGCAGGTAACTAATGTGTTGCTGCTTTTGCTCTCAAAGGCAGAGTCATAGCTCTTGGCTTGCAGGACAGGTTATGTCTGTACTGTAGTTGATGCAGAATCAACAGTTATATCAGCAAACGTCTCGATGGTGCCCATCTCACGTCATAAACTGTTGTTCAAGTTACTGACATTGGAATACATATGAAAAGTTTCTCAGAGATGAAGAGTTACTCCTCTGGGAAATGTATGGCTCTTCATGGTGATGTCCCTATGTATTTCAGTCGGGCTTCCTTCCCTACAGCTATGAAGTCCCACACAGCAGGGGTTTGGTTTTAGTGAAGGAAACCAGGGTTGTAGCCCCTAACATCATTGGCCGTAGTTTGAGTGGGTGTGCAGGACATAGGCTTGATCTCCACAGCACTGGTATCGATTGTACAGATGTTCTTGTGCCAGGTGGTAGATGCACACCCAGAAGTGGAATACATAACGCTTAAAATGTGTCTTAAGAACTACTGTTATTGTAAGGTAAGTAATTACTCTTTTTTGACTGAACTGCAGGAGAAAGATAAGGAAGTGTTCACACTGATGAGCTGCTCCCAAAAATGTCATGCCATAAGTGTGGGCTTGCATGCACAACCATAGACGTACAAGTGTTGTGTTCTCTGTTGCTTTGTGGCCTCCTTGTCCATGGTTTTGACCCCATCTATGTTCCTCTTGCTTTTCCAACCCCTATGCTTCATATTTCCCTCCCTTCTCCACATGCTGTGTTTTCAGAACAGGAAGTGCTTCTTCAAGCAGTATGCTCCTCTTTCCTCCTATTGAAATAAAGATGGAAGGTACTTTTCCTTCCCTTTGCTGTGATTTCAACTTAACAAAAAGAAAGCTGGACTTCTCTCTGGTTTTGCTTTATTGGCTGAGTCTGGTGCTGCCTCTGCCATTTACAAGTGAACTATTCATAAGTCATTAAGACACACCACAAGAGAAGTGAGTACTGTGCCTGTGCGTAGTGGCATTTTCATGTGTGCACTGTGGCCTCCTGTTTCCTCCTTTGCATCACAGGTGAAAGTTAGGAACTGGGTAACAGAGGATGAAAGGAGACTTATTTTTGTTTCATCTCATGCACTTGAAAAATAGGAAGAATGTCCACTTCTGCTTCTTAACATCTTTGTTTCCAGAGAGGCTCACATGGTTCAGTTGTTATTTCCCACACCAGTTGTAGAGCATTATAGCTTTTTCTGATTTTGTGATGCTCATCACATGTGGAGTCTCTTGCTCATCGGGGCAGTGGATCTCTTTTGTGACCATGGTATACTTAGTCGCCTGTCTTTACTGGCAAGACATGAAGCAAACTTAAGAAACATAGGGAATCTCCTAAGCAAGACAAAAGACAACTAGGAGGACACTGTGAAAAGTAGAACAGAAAGTTTCTGCTTCCAGTAAAAAACATTTGGGGGGGGGGGAAATATAAGTTCCTCACTTTCACAGGAGGCCCAGCATGTGGAAAGGAAAAAAAGCAGAAGAAAAAGATGTTGCTGCCTGTGGGGCTTTTTTCTCATCCAAACGCGAGAAGAGAAATTGCTGGTTTCTCTCCTTAAAAATGCGAAACAGTAAGGAGGTTACAAAGATGGTATGCGTTTTGGTAAAGTGTATGACAGATCTGCTAAATTTTGTCAAGGCTTTATGATTTATTGACGTCAGTAACTGACAAATAGGTTTCCTTAACCATATTTTGATTGATGGGATACACATTTGAAAGATCAACGTACAAAATTACGTTGATTCACAGGAGTTCTGCAGAATTTCAGGCAATCTTTACTTCTGCCTTCATGGGTCAGTGTGCTTCATGGCTGCCTGCGGAACCAGTTGCTCAGTTCTGATCACTACTGCAAAGCTTTGTGTGTACACGCTTCGGTCCAAAATGTTCTGCTTTTTATTGGTAGGGGGCTGTACAGGGATATCTGGTAAATGAGTAGCGGCACAGTGCACACCCAACAGTTGAAAAATGGGTATGGGTTTAGAAGTGTGGGAAAATTGCCTCCGAGTGCTTTCTCTTCTGTTAAACTAATAAGTAGGAGCAAGACTGGAGGATCAAATACAGTGTGTTTTCATATTGGATTTTAAATTGTGTTGTACATCCTCAAAAACATCTGTGTAAACTCAGGAAAGAAGAATACCAAAACTGTAGCCTTAGGTGGACTGAAAAAAAGCCAGTTTCAAGAAACCTATACCAGAAAGGATGCCTTCTCTTGTGTTATAGTATTTCAAAGCGTGAAAAAAATCAAGGATGGCAGAAGAGGTTATCTTCCCTGTACTGTAGTCACCGCTGTCTTACAGAAGGATTCAGAGTGCTGCTTCTGCCTCTGCATTTGTTCCTTCCTATTTCCTTCTCTCTTCCTATGTGCTACCCAGAACTCGCGTCTACCTTCTCCTGCTGCGGTGGGTTTACTTTTACTGTGTGAGAGGCGCCAAGTTTTCTCTCCCGTGACATAGTCCCCACTGTGCAAGACCATTACAAGTAAAACCTTGAGTTATAAACTAGGACAGAAATCCCCCCTTTGTTTTGCACTAATGTGTGTTCAGCTAGCTCTCAAGTAACATTCAGTATCGCTTGGCCAATATATTCCCTATGGACACATTTTGATGAAACCAAAGTAGGAGTTAACTTGGAGGGATGTGCAAGAGCAGAAAAACCCGGGAGAGTTTTATTTAGAGATTGTGTATAAGACTGGTGTGCATACTGTGCAGTCAGTAACAGTCTGTATGAAGAACTTGCATTTTTCTAGAGAGCTCAGATTGGAAGAGAGATCTTAATCTGGCCTTGACTGTCCTGTAACTTGTCTAAATATATTCTCTTTTAATGTCTTTAGATGAAAAGAAAGAGAACAGGTTTGCGGCTGAGCTGGATGAGTATGGATCAGATACAATGAGTGAAATAAATATTGTTGGGCGTATTATCTTAAATATTTGGAGAATGATGAGAAATGAGGTAAAGTTTTTAAAAGGTTGATGTATTTGAATTACTGGGGTTTTTTAATTATTGTAGACTTTGAGAATTTCATGCAACTTATGTAACTTGTTTTTTATTTTACACCTTTTCAAATACAGCAGCTTGCCACTTTGTGAGAATGGATTTTGCATATCAGTGAAATGTAAAATACTGAAGCCCTAGTCTTTCAGTAATGTTTCTAGTGATACTCCTTATCGCTTTTTTGTGGGTTTGTTATGTCTGAACCATGACAACAACTTACCTGATTCAGCCATCTGCGGTGCTTTTACTAAATTAAATACTTGAACTTATTTTGAGCTGTCAGACTTACTCATTGTTTTGCTCTTTATGACCTTGCATTTAATACCCAAATGGTTCAGTTTTTACAAATCATGTTCTGACCAAATTCAGAATTGATCTTTGTGATCTACTTAATTCTGCATATTCTTTTCAATTGATGAGAGACACTCAAAATTAGGGACTTCTAAGTATAAATGCTTACCTTTATAGCAAAGAATTCTAATAGTAAGTTAATAAATTTAGTCATTACAGTTTTTAAAAATTAGAGATTTCTTTGACTATGAAAGACATCATGCATGTTAACACGTCCTCTGTGTTTTTCTAGGTGAATCTAATGAATTACACTTTTGAAAATGTGGGCTTTCATGTTCTTCATCAACGTTTTCCGTTATTTACTTTCCGAGTTCTGTCTGACTGGTTTGATAATAAGGCAGATGTCTACAGGTAATGATATATTGGTCCATTTTGTTTGTTCTTATTAAGGGCAGATTCTCTCCCCATAGGAGATGTATAAGCTAAAGTCAGCACAGAAAGAAATAATCAGTTGGCTCAGGTACTCGAACAGTCTATATGCAGCAACATGAGCTTATTTACTCTGCTGTTCTGCGGTGTTCTCTTATGTAGTTACACCCTCAGTATTTCATCTTTTCTGCTGAAGTACACAAAACCAAAACAGATTTTCAGTTACAGTTTCAACATATCTTAATAGATGTACTATTTTGAAGTTCTGTAAGGTCTTTACTTGTATATACTATTCATCAGAAGGACTTTTAATGAACTGTCAGCTTTCTAGTTTACTTCACAGTTCATGTCAACCAAGCTAGGCTTAAAAATAGTACAAAACAGTGTTAACATGTTAAGACAGTTAACTACAGATGCTTAAAAATACCTTTATATGACATGCATCGCGCTGGGCTTCGCACTTCCATTTGGTATTGTGTGACATCAACAATTCATAAAACTGAGTACTGATCTGAATGTCGTTCATGACATACATATAATTTCTGTAAAAGTTAAAATACTTTTCAGCTAGATGGAAACTTGGTTTAGTGCTGAAATTATGAATTTATGCTGAACTGAGGTAGGTGATCTTAATCAAGAAAAGGATGTTTCCATGAAATTCCACTTGGTTTAAAAAACCCATGTAAACAGATGAAGAGAAACTCAAGTTTTTGTTTCAGTAATCCTCTAGGGCAGTAAGGAAAACAGGATGTCATCGGGATATGCCTTAACAGGAGTTTGCTGTAACACAATTCTGTGTATATCTTTAGAATGCGTAAGTGTATGTTTACGTGCGCCACATTTTTGAGAGCTGCATGAAAATGTCCTAGGGGAAATTTATTTGCTGGTTTGTAACAGGCTATCATAAAAATATGTTTTTCGCAGTAGAAATAGCAGCACTGTCCTGATTGTTTATAACGAGGTGTTCACTTTCACAGATGGAAAATGGTTGATCATTATGTTAGCCGTGTCCGTGGGAATCTGCAGTTGTTAGACAAACTGGATTTGATTGACAGAACAAGTGAAATGGCGAGACTTTTTGGCATTCAGTTCTTGCATGTATTAACAAGAGGCTCCCAGGTAATATCTAGTTTTCCTTAACGCTTTGCAAAAACAAAATAATCTTTGCATAATGTTGTAGTTAGTATCTTTTCAGTCAGTGTATGTATTTTCCTAAGGTCACAGAAGACTGTTTTGCATTAACGGGAAACTGAAACATAATGAAAGACAACTCAAAAGCAGTAATAATGGATTGAGTGGTTTGACCCAGGGATTAAAAATGGTGCCCCAAACGGAATCATGGCAGCGAGTCTCTTCTTCTGACTTTGAGAGCACTGAGTTTTCCCTTTGAGTTTTTCACCCTTAGATGAGTTTGAAAATTAATGGGTTTTAAAACATTAAGAAACAGAATTGAGCATGTTTTAGAAAGGTGGGATGTTTTTCTTCCAGGGCAGACAAAGCTGCACTGAATATATTCTAGGTGATATTTGTGGGAAGCAGACCTCTGGGTGAGATTTGATGACAAGACAAGATGGGCTCTGCCTTTATTAAGTACACGTGTCATGCAAGATGTGTGTGGTTCTGTTACTTTGCTACTAGCATCAGAGGGAAAGGGAGCAGGACAGAGCGAGATTTACACTCTGGAGACACCCTGGCAGTCCCCAGTAATACCAAGGGCTTTCCTTGCCCAGGTTCTGAGTGACCAGACCAACTGGACTGTTACACGGCTTCACGTGAGCCCTGAACAGCACCTGAAACGAGACGTGTGTCTGCTCTTCTGTTGTCATCTTCATCTTCTCTCCTACCATAATCACTCTTTCCTGCCATATATCTGCTTTCTCTTCTCATAGACAATTAGCTGAGCTGACCAGGACCCATTATTTTTCTAACTTCTGTGGACAAAAAGACAATTTAAAAAATAATGCCTTAAGCAGACCATCATTGTCTTAAGGCAACTAGAAATGGGAGCTTCTGAAGCTGCAGTTCCTTAACAATTCAACCCAATTTTAAAATGTTGCCACCTCTTTTTTCCTTTGACTGCAGTTGCCTGTGTCATCTCTTGACCCAGTCGCAGGTTCTTGTCGGGCTTCTGGTACTGCCCCTATATTTGGGGGTGGGGGCAGCATCGGCCCTGGCCGCAGAACCATGGTGGCATTCGCTAGGTATTTGCCAGGTTGGTTCCCTGATCCCTGTTACCAGAAAAGTACCGCTGTTGGAGCAGGAAAAGAGAAATGCACAGTTAGGGTGGGACTGGCGTACTGCCAATTTAGATTTGCTTAAGCTGTCGTGATTGCAGCCCGCAAAGGCTGTTCTGCCTATCATTTTCTCAAACGGCTGTGAGTGGGAGTGTGCAACCGAAACATGCTGCATTTTCTATCTGACTGTTCTTTTCTCTTTCCTTCTGTGCGCGTATGTTTTGTTTCCATTGAAACTTTCTGGATCAGAGAAATGGCTGTTGAAACAACTCCCAGTCACCTCAAATGATTATTTTTTTTTTTCACTCAAGAAGGATCATCACTACCTTTTTATGAAAATACTCCTTTTCCCCTTAGCTGAAAAAGATATTAAAACGGCATAGCGCAAAGAAAATGTTTCAGATATTTTAAGTTACCTTTTCCATATTTTTGTAGCTCATAGGTTTTACAAGACCTTTTTTTTAAGGTGTTTTTCTTTTATTTTCATAGAACCATAGAATGGTTTTGTTAAGCTATCTTGAATATTCTGTAGTAGGCTAAACCAATCTATCAGTAGATGGTCATAGGCATACTGATTATTAGTCAGATGACTGAAGAACTTGCTGAAAGCTGGGAAAAAAACCCTAGCTCTTGCCATGTCCAGTCCCTGACCACCTCATCACACATCTGAGCTCATCACTGGACACAAGTTAGTGCAAGGCAGCAGCAGTTCATGCTGCTGCAAAACTACACTTTCAAACCCCAACGTGTGCATAAGGTGGCAGGGTCCTGTTAAAGCAGTTGCTTCTGTAAGTTCGTTTATAACATCAAAGTTAAAGAAATTATACCTAACCCATTCAGTACAATGATTGAACGTACAGTGTGTCAGGCAGAGGGCTTTGAATAGCGATTCACTTGCTAACAAAGCACAGGATCTTAAGGTTGCATAGCATTGTTCCTTGATCATTTGGGATTTTCAGTCCTTTGCTACCCATGGTATGTAATTTTCAGCTATTTTGGGTTTTATTGCAAATGAGCACAGTGAATCGCTGCTGGCTTGTATGTACTTTTAAAGCCTTACTAAAGCATTGAGTAATACATAAATAAATAGGGCTGCTTTTTCTTCTTGTTGCTACCTCTGCAAACGACATTTTGTGATGTCTTGAACAAGGTGAAACTTTTTATTACTTGATGCTTCCTGCACCGCTTCTGGCATCATCAGGGAGAAAGGATGATACGCAGGGCAAAGCAGCAGACTCTGGAAACAGGCTGACTTAGATCCTTCCCTTGGTTCTCTTGCAGCCAAGTACATTCTGTTTGCTTCCCATGGTCAAAAGCTTGGAGGCAGTTATCAACTTGTACAACTCAAGTCATTTTTCCGATTTCCTAATTGTTGAAGTAAAATTGCTGTGCAGATTCCTATGGCAAATGGTCATCAGCTGCACATTATACTTTGTTTTCTCTGATGTTCTGCAAGTCTAACAAAAACACGGTTTAGCAAAAAGTTCATTTGCTGACTGTGGCATGGCAACCTGTATATATTGTTGCAGCCTGTTGGATGTTTATTTTTCTTAACCTGAGCTGGATGTTTACTTTTTCCATAGATAAAAATTAGAAATGATACTCAGTGATTAGGGCTAAATGATGAGGAAACACATGGAAAAGTTCCGCTGTATATGATAGAAAATATACATTAAGAGTATGGTAATATTTATTTTGGAAAACTAGTAGTCCTTTAAATTCAGGAAAACTGTGTATTTACACAGTTTTAATACACTCACGTTTATTCTCTGGTTTTGAAATGATAAATAATTATCCAAACTGTTTTGCAGTATCGTGTGGAGTCTATGATGCTGCGTGTTGCAAAGCCAATGAATTACATTGCTGTGACACCCAGTGTCCAGCAGCGAGCTCAGATGAAAGCCCTGCAGTGTGTTCCCTTAATCATGGAACCAGAATCCCGCTTCTACAGCAATGCTGTCCTGGTATTAGACTTCCAGTCGTTATATCCTTCCATTGTGATAGCGTACAACTACTGTTTTTCAACCTGCCTGGGACATGTGGAAAACTTAGGAAAGTAAGTTGTTGTTGTTTTCTCACACACTCTTGAGTCTGTAGAGACTTCAGCATCTTTTCTCAGGTACTGAGAAACCTTGGTTGTCATTGGAAACAACGGGCATGTATGAATAGCACCATTTTCTGTTACACAATAGAGTTGATAAAGATCTACTGTGTGGGTGTGTGTACACACAAAGACACACACGTATACACATCAATATGTATTTTTAATTAAATACAAAATTACACTCCATTCTGTTAAAAAAAAAATTAACTCTGTATGTGCATGTGTGTACACCTGTTCCATTATTGTGATGGTGCTAGTTTTTAATATTGCTTCAGAATAACTTTAAATCTTATATAAATCCACTACCTGTTTTCAAAACTGTGCCAGTATTATTCCATTGTATGTTAATAAATTGTTGTTGTCTTTTAACAATTGCAGTTCACTCTGCTCTTAGCAGTTCAAAATGAAAAGATACAATGAGTTACTCTGTGCAGCATCTCTTCCTGAGCTTAACAGTAACTCTGTTAACTGGAAAAAAAAATGTCATTGCTCATTATAGTTACCTCTATAACACAATATTTGGAAGAATGGGAAGATGCATGCGCTGATTGCTAGGTGTCACCACCCGGTTTTCAAGTTTCTGATTTGAAATTCTGAATTTGTAGGAAGAAAATATATGCAGCGTGTTACTCGGTAAACATGCATGGTTTTTGTAGGGGATTGCAGTATGAGTACACGTCTGCAGTAACAGCGTTTGGAAATAACGCATTAATGCAGAACAGAATTGATAAATTACACGTGTTGGAGTTCAGCCATTTATTGCTACTTTATTCCTAGGGCCTTGTGCCTGTAGCTAAGAAATTTTAAATGATAGAATGTTTGTTTATACCTGAGATCGTAGTTGTGATTCTGTCCTTGCTGTCATTATCAGCATTTTAATCTGAGTGGATGCTTTTGCTTGATTGGGCTGTAAATGAATGAATTGTCTTAATATTTGATTTTTCTCTTTATTAGGTATGATGCATTCAAATTTGGCTGTACGTCTCTCAGAGTACCTCCTGACTTACTTTACCAGATTAGGCACGATATCACAGTGTCACCCAGTGGAGTAGCTTTTGTCAAGGTAATGGTATTAGTGCTCTGTGACAAGCATTTTCACCTCCCATTGGCTGACTAGTTTAAGATCAAGTTGATACTGCAGTTTATATTTTGCTGCGTTAGGGGCAGGCAGAAGCAGGGGGGGGAGTCTGTGACTTCCCCATGTTTTTTGATGTTTGTCAGAGCGCTGAACTTCTGGCGGTTCAGGAAATAAAATGTCAGCATTGTGCTTTCATTTATACTGAAGGCTTATGTCATCTATATTTAAACTGTATTTTACGTGTGCAGTTTGGGGATCAAACAGTAATTATCTGTGTGTAACACTTCATTCTTCTCCTGCCTGTATAGAAGAACGCTTTCCTAGAAAGAGAGTCATGGTCTGGGAGATGAAAATCCCTGACTTGCTTCCTATTGATCTCAGTTTAGGTTATGTGTACTGCTGGTTCTTTGTAATGAATTAATAAAGATGGCCTGCTGCTCTTACAAATAATTAGCCAATCACCAGCATACAGTTATTTAATGTAAACAAAGACTTTGAGTCAAGAATAGTTGCCGAATGTTTAAAAGATAATATTCCTTTAGCATTTAACATTTTGAGAATTAACATTTAAATATTGAAGTCCCATTTTAGTTAATAAGGTTATCTAAACATTGCATTAGCAGGGCTGAGGAAATCAAAGAACAAAAAGCTATTTACCCTGCCCTTAAGAGCTTTGCCTGTATTCTAGGTTGCTTGTAGCATTTGTGGGAAGAGCCAAACCGTTGGTGCCTAGGGCATCTTGCTAATTGATTTGTCATCTTAGCAGCGATTATCCAACAGTTCTGGGCTTTGTTTTTACTCCTGACTGTTTAGGTTGGGCTTTTAAACTTTTTTTTTTTTCCCCTTTGTTCTCTTTATGGCAGCCTTCAGTACGAAAGGGCGTGCTGCCAAGAATGCTGGAAGAAATCTTGAAGACTAGGATAATGGTGAAACAGTCAATGAAGGCTTATAAGCATGACAAGGCTATAACTCGAATGCTGGAAGCTCGTCAGTTGGGTCTCAAATATATAGCTAATTTTACATTTGGTTATACTGCTGCTAATTTTTCTGGAAGAATGCCATGCGCTGAGGTAAGGGTTGCAGATAAAAATGCAAAAAAACTAGAAATGACACTATTAATATAGTCAGATAATGCGGTATTATTAATTGAAACATATTTAATCTAAATATCTTCATAAAAGCTGTTTTTACTTGTAGTCCTGAAAATCAGCAACTTTGGATTTGTAATCCTTTTAAAAAAAAAGCCTTAGTTTTCTTCTTCCCATGAAAGAGCATTTGGAGTTGGCATTTCTGCTGAACTCTCTCCAAAGGTAGATTGGATTACAGTTCTAATAGTGGAAATAAAACAACACATTGTAACTGTTTCATAGTTTTGATGAAAGGAGGAGTCAGCAGAATCCAAAAAGTAGAGAAAATGATCCTAAGCAATTCTGCCTTGCTCCTTACACTTTTAATATACCTACAGAAGTTTAAACAACTTTTTCTTTATCTTAATTCTCAATAATTTGTGATCACTCTTCCTTCAATTCTTGCTGTTTGATTTAAACATTTAAACCATGAAATAAAATACACTGTCTCTACATATCAATTTTCATAAAGGGATCAAGCAAGGTTAGTCTACGTTTAACAAGAGCTAGTATTAGCAGGACAATAAAGATTTCTCATTTTATCAACTTTGCAGGTTGGGGATAGCATTGTCCACAAAGCCAGAGAAACATTGGAGCGTGCTATAAAACTGGTGAATGATACAAAAAAATGGGGTGCTCACGTTGTGTATGGTGATACTGACAGGTAATTCGTGGTCTGCCTCTTAGAGTGTTTTAGAATCATAGTAGTTCTTCATAGATTTCTTTTGTCTCAACAAGGGGAATTTACAGTACTAAAAAGAGTATGTGGACTCTCTTTGGAATGTTGCTTACCGTCTTGCAGAATATGACAAGAAAATAATACTTATTTTCTCGGTGTTCCTTTAGGACTCTTAGAAAGCACTTTGAGGGTGCTTTCTCTTGAAAATTGCGTAACAGAAAGAGGGAGGGAAAATCATACTTTTTTCAGTGTGAATTAAAACAAGTATTATTTATCGAATGAGTAGTTTTGTTCCTGTTTCTGATGCCAATTTAATATTGTAAAATGGAGTATTTCTAATATAGTAGGCATTGCACGTTGATACCTAGAGGAAGGCACTATTTTAAGCTTCAAAAGAGGATACAATTGAGAAGCAGCCTCTAAAGCATACAAAGATGTGATTAGGCTCCTGAAATACAGCATATAAATATCTCCCTTTTCTCAATCTTTCATCTAAATAATAGCCATGCTCTAGGCGTATCCATCTCTCCTGCTAGACTTGGATAATTTTTCAGCCATGGGAAACAAAGCTTTGTCTTTCCTTAATAACTTGTGAATCCAATGACTGATTTCAGCCAGATTTGATGAAAGACTTGGAATTTCAAAGATACTAAATTCGTGGTAGCTTCACCAGGAGGAAGAAAAAAAAAAAAGAGAGAAAGGGCATAGGAGAGCTCTTTACAGTCCTCTCCCGGGCCTCAAGTTTTGCAGTGCCTGGGAGCAGTCACTGCCTCACCAGAGAGTCATAGCATTCGTCGCACCTTTGGCTCTCCTGATCTCATACTGAACGTTGAAATTCCTCAGGTCTTTACCTTTTCTAGCTGAAGGAAGGGAGCAGAATTGATAACATCCCTGCCTTGCCACGCCACCAAGAAAGTATAGCTTTTAAGTCTGGGGAACTGTGCTGAACAGATCTGTGCTTATTTCCTACATGTGGTTTCTTGTAGCATGTTTGTACTCTTGAAAGGAGCCACGAAGGAACAGTCTTTTAAGATTGGTCAAGAAATTGCTGAAGCTGTAACAGCAACGAACCCCAAACCTGTTAAACTCAAGTTTGAAAAGGTAAAAGGAAAATATTTTGTTTCAAGTGTCTTGGGTGAAAAAACATTGTTGTCCTCAAAAAAAAAAAAAAAAAAAAATTTTTTTTGGACTCTGACATGGCGTAAGAATCTGCAACAGTTGAACAGTCATGTGCTGTCCTGTCTCTGTGGGTGTTTTGCAAGCTCCCTAATGCCCCGGGGACCTTGTCAGAGGAGCACTGCAGCATGAACAACAAAACGAAGTATTCCTGCTTTCACGTCAGGGTGCCTGGTGGCTTGTTGCACTGGCAGCACCAGGCAGTTTGAGATTCCCGTTTCGCTGATTTTTGGAAACGGATTCCTCAGTTTTGTGTTATATACATGGAGGCATACCAACATGTGCCACTTGGCAGAGAAAATGTACGCCGTCCCTTGAAGCCATTCCAGTGCATTAATTACGAGCCTGATATTTATTCTTTGTCCAGCCGTAGTACACTTCAGAATATGTCTTTGTGCTACATACACATATAAAATGAAAAAAATCCTAAAAATCCATTCAGTAGGTTTTTGGAAGAAGCATTAATGACAATAAGCCACAATGACAAGAAACAATAATGACAACAGGAGCGCAAGGCAATGTGATACTAATTTTGGTGGAAGTTTATCCTTGGAAAATCATTAGCAATCATTTCAGGTGTTCTAGATATTTCCAAAGTACATACCTAACTCAACAGGTTCAATCAGAATTTGTAAGCATATTGCCATTTTTCACAGAAAATGCAGCAGAAAAATATTAGCAAGAAAAGCCAGGATACCCGTGGAAGGCGCAACAACTTTTCCTCACTGGCTAACGTACAGGGACCCTTCCCGCTTTGAGGCAATTCTGTGTCATTAAGCTGAAGGAGTAATTAGCCAGAAAAAAATACTAGGTGCAAGGATATGCTTCACCTCAAGTGCATAATGCACCTGTGGGTCAGAATACTGAGTACTCTCCTGGGGCAGCTTCCTAGCACAGGAAGAGGAAAATGCCTTAGAGCTGGAGCATCTGTTGAGGAAATGGGACACCTGTGTACAGGACCTTCCTCAGCCTGAGGCCCTCTAAAGTCATGGCTCCCTCTTTTGTGAGAGCCAGTAGGATGGGGTGGTATCCTGGTAATACTGGGAATAAATTGTTCCCCGTTATTTATCTTCAAACTGGTCAAGGAATACTGACGCAATCAAGAATGAAGTAAGAGGCTGGAGAAAACAAGCAAAAGAGACAATGACCCTAAAAATCCGTTCATGAGGAAACTGTTGATAGGGGTTTAAAAATCATGCTTTCCCCCAGTCAAGATACGACCTCATTTTAGGCACCTCAGACTTAGAGGAAGCTTGAAACTAGAAAGTTCAAAGTCGTTACTTTTGCTGGGAAAATCTGCTTCTCTGATGTTTAAAACCAAGTTGTTGTCTTTATAAGAAAGAGAGATGACACATTTACATTAAAAATGCTGACAGACGCAATCCAGAAAGAAGTAAGGATATTCAAACCAAATTATACTGTGTGTCACTTTTCATCTGAGCTTCAGATTGCTTAGCCTTTACGGCTAGCTGAAGTATAAAGTGATTTAAGAATGGAACACCACAGAATCCCAACTTTCCAGCCATCCTTCAACAGTTCTTTGATCCAGTTTATTAGTTTTAATGATTAAAAAAATCCCCAAACAAACAAAAAAACCCCACAAACAACAACAACAACGAAAAAACACCAAAAGGAGGCCAAGTATTCCTTAGGAAACCCCCTGTGTTCAGAGCCACCTTATTTTCCCAACACATGCTGGATTGGACTGACTTCTTTCTAAATTTTCCAGGTCTACTTGCCGTGCGTCTTGCAAACTAAAAAGAGGTACGTGGGTTACATGTATGAAACACTGGACCAGAAGGACCCAGTATTTGATGCGAAAGGCATAGAGACAGTCCGAAGGGACTCCTGTCCTGCTGTTTCCAAGGTAAAATACTCATGCATTTCTTTCTGCAGCTTCCAAGGAAACTGTAGTAGTCTGTTATTTCACTGTGTATTTGTCTTTTCTCAGAGTTTCTAGTCCTTGTGAATTGTCGGAGATTTCAGCTGGTTCTCTGGTATGAGCCATTTGAAAGATAAATTGAACATCTTGCAGATCATGACGAGGACTTGCACCTGCCATCTTCACTACTACCATTCAGCCCCTAAAAAGCCCCCAGCCCCATGTAACTTCTCTAGGAGACCATCCTTTGTCCAGTTCACTTTAACTGGAAATGAGTATTACTCCAAGATGAGGGAGGCACGCTGATGTGTCTGCTAAGTAGGCCACTTACATAAATCTAGCTTAGCTAGGAAACCTCTGTAACGGTTGAAACAGTCTCAGTGCCAGAGCACGGATAATGCCCTGAGAGGTGTCCCACTGAGGAAGAAGCTGTCCAGTAATGTGTTTCTGACTGTCTGCGAGTAGAAGAGAAGGCACCCTGTTGTTGTATTAACATTCGAGTTCACAACTGATGCTTTCTCTAAGCAGCATATTAATAATTCAGTACATTACATGGAAATATTTGGAATTAATTTTTTTTAATGTGTTTTTCTCACCTTCTTTGGCTGTAAAGATACTTGAGTGTTCTATCAAGCTGCTATTTGAAACACGGGACATCAGTCAGATCAAACAATACGTTCAGAATCAATGCATGAAGTTACTAGAAGGCAAAGCCAGCATGCAAGACTTCATCTTTGCAAAAGAGTACAGAGGGAGTTCAGCTTACAGACCTGGATCCTGTGTGCCAGCCCTGGAAATCACCAGGTAAGGGGATTAAGAAGTGCTAATGGTAGCTATTTTTTCTCTTGACCTTTGTACTGCCAAGTTTTGGGTAGCAGTCTCTGTCTCCTTCTATATCTGTCTGTATCAGCAGACAGTAGTACCCGCAGTTATCTGTCTCCTTCAGATACTGTTGCAGCAGTTGGCTCTGACTTTGTTCTGTGTGTGAAGAGAGATCGGGCATGGGATAGTCCTGGGAAGAGCCGCACGTTCCAAGAGTAAAGTCCTTCGTCAGGACGCTGTGACAGCGTCTTCGCGGCAGTTACGTAGGCTTCAGGTTTTGTACGAGGGCTTGGCACTCCAAGATTGCCCATCGCCCCTGGCTGCTAGATATGTTAACAACTGCCGTAGTGATAGCTCTGTGCTGTGACATACATTATGGGGCATAATCTTTCATTTTTTAAAAAGTACCTTACCTAAAGGTGATATTTCATCCTGTTGATATTATTTGTCAGTAATAGGTAATGTGAGCTGGCACATTTTGCCACCGTGCTTAATACAAAAGGCCTTCCAATGAGGGTGTGCTTTGTAAATAAAAGAAAATTCAAGTCCTGGATTGATGCTGGCTTCAAACCAAATTGTCCTTTGCTTTCTGGGTACTTGAGCTCTTTTTAGTACCCTGGCTGCTCTTTATTAAAATATTTCCTTTAGGAAGGGGCAGCTAGAAAGCAACCTGCATGCAAATGCAGTGACCTGAAACAGGACATATCTTCCAAGTTCTAAAATTTGGGTCTGATCATGAGACAAATTAAAAATGAAACAACTGGGTCCTGTGCTCCGTAATAAACACTAACTTCAGTCGTCTGGAGATGGGGAAGTTTACAAGCAAATGAAATAACTCTGAATTTGTCCCTGGATGCATTGTAAAGGCTGTCTTTAAACAGGAGAATGCTTGCCTATGACCGTCGCTCTGAGCCACGCGTTGGGGAGCGAGTGCCCTACGTCATTGTGTACGGCATGCCCGGGCTGCCCCTGATACAGCTGGTGAGGCGGCCCATGGAAGTGCTGCAGGATCCCAACCTGAGGCTGAATGCCACGTACTACATCACCAAGCAGATCCTCCCACCGCTGGCCAGGGTGTTCTCGCTTATTGGCATCGACGTCTTCAGCTGGTACCACGAGTTGCCGCGGGTACGTGTTTGGAAACAAACAGATTCCAAAGGCATCTGTGCAGTGTGTGGTTTTATCGTGGCTTTTAACGGAATGTGGGTTATGTGAGGCAACAGCAAGGTTATTGTGTGAGGCAGCGTGTGGTGCTCAAACACGCAGACCTGATTCTTAGATCTTGGGGAGGGTGGGAGGGAGGGCGTCACTTACTAAGCCAGCTTTTGGCAGAGCCAGGGAGCACCCAGGAGGTCATGGGGAGCAGAGCAGCCAGGTGTTTGAAGCAGGAGAGCGAAGGATAGCACAAAGCATGAGCTGTGCGGCACCAGGAGCGAGTGCAGAGGCTGAACTTCCCTGGGCGAGGGGGCAGTGGGGGAGCTTTGCTCAGGGAAATTGGAGCGTGAGCTAGAGGCACAGACGAAAGGACGGTGGCAGCTCTGTGCCCGGGACTGCGCTGGCACAGAAGCTGGAGGGGAGGCAGGATCCAGGAGGCAGCCATGAGGCTGCAGCCAGGGCACATTTGGGGGTGTGGTAGATCTGCACCTAGGAGGGAACTGAAGGAGGCAGAGTTTGAGATGAGATTGGGAGCTCAGCATGTGACCAGGGGTTTCATAGAGTCACAGAACAGTTTGGGTTGGAAGGGACCTTAAAGACCATCTAGTTCCAACCCCCCTGCCATGGGCAGGGACACCTTCCACTAGACCAGGTTGCTCAAAGCCTCATCCAGCCTGGCCTTGAACACTCCCAGGGATGGGGCATCCACAGCTTCTCTGGGCAACCTGTTCCAGTGCCTCACTGCCCTCTTTAGTTACTCTGTCAACTATTTCTTTAATTACTCTGTTTTGCTTTGAGCTTCCCTGTGAAATAGGTGTGGGTGGGCTCAGTGCAGGTGTATCACTTCAAGGCAAGGGCTACCTTCTTCAGGGTGATGAGATCCTTGTTAATCATTTGTGTATGACCCCCTGCCCTGTAGGCTGTGTTGTATTTTCATATTCCTTAAAAAAAAAAAAAAAGCTAGTGCAATCTGGGAGTAAGGCAAGCTGCTCTCTTCAGAGTTCATTACCTCCTAGTTGTGTTTTCTTTAACAGATTCAGAAAGCCGCCTCGGCTGCCCGAAGTGAGCTGGAAGGACGCAAAGGCACAATCTCCCAGTATTTCACGACCTTACACTGTCCTGTGTGTGATGAACTGACCCAGCATGGGATCTGTACTAAATGCAGAAGCCAGCCACAGCACGTGGCAGTGATTCTGAACCAGGAAATCCGAGAGCTGGAGCGTAAGCAAGAACAGCTGGTCAAGGTACGATTAAAGCATTGTCAGTTGTCTGTCAGCCGGAGACAGGGGCTGCAGTTTCAAAGCAGCGTGGGCCTGAACGCTCCCAGCAGAAAGGGGAAGTACAATCCGGGCATTAAACGTCCTGTAGCTCGTTTGCTTGTCCCGTTGCTGTTGAAGGCAGCATAGCAGCTGTTACTCCCTAGCTGTGCGTAAAACTGAGAGCCAGGGGGGAGGGATCAGAACAGAAGACGCTTTTCTCCTAGGAGTATCTCGCGTGGTTTGTAGGTTCCATGCCATACGGACAGTGATGGAGAGCTACAAACCACCTTTTTTGTGTCACAACAACTGATGATGTTCTAGTAACAAAAAGGCCCATCCCAGAAAATATACATATACGCTTTATAAGTGTAACATGGATGTGTTTTAGCTTGTGGGTTTTCTTCTTACCTTTCCTCTTGCTAGGCATTTTCCACGCTGGGTTTTTCCCTTGAGCTAGAAGTCAGTTAGGAGGAGGGTAGCTGCCTGTGCTAACGAATACATTATGGGGACGCGCAGTGCCTCCCCTTGCAGAAACACGCGCATGCCCTCACCTAATTTTCATACTGTCGTACTTTACAATTGATAAATATTTTTGTTCAAATAGATTTTTGAACAAAAATGGAAGCTCTCGCGAGAGAGGCTGACGTGGCTTGGGCGTTGCCGTGAGCAACCGCGGGAGATTTAAACGCGGAGAAACCAAGTGCAGCGTACAGTCTGCCAGAGTCGGTGGCGGCAGCGGTGTGCTCTGTGGCTGAGAGCTACAGAGAAGCAAAAAAGGGGTTCCCTGATCAAGGGAAGCCTGAGAAAACTGAGAAAAAGCAGGCCAGGGCGTTCCCACAGCCAGGGAAACCCAAGAATGAGCTGCAAGGCCCGCCCGGACCCAGAAGCTCT